CATCTTTGGGAAATACAATCCACCATATGTGTATGGTGTACAGTTTCCTTCAGTTAACTGGGATAGTAAACATATTGATGATATTTCTTATTACATAAGAAAATTGTTGAGTCTCCCCAGAGGGTCTCCAAAAAACAAAAAAGAAAGAATGAAAATAGTATGAGAAATATAAAAGACCAACTTTTCAACTTCATTTGCGAGGAGAATTTGTAATTTTAACAGTAAAAACTATACCATAAAATAAAAAGAAAAACTGCAAATGAAATGGAAGAGTTATATTTTAAAGCTCAAGAATTATTTTCCCTTTAATATGAAATATTCTGGCCCATAGTACAAGAGTTTCAAGTAAGCATTTTAAGGATGTAAGATAAATCTAATCACTACCTCACACCAAGCACAAAACAATTTGAGATGAATCATTCACTTAAAATTGAGAACTAAAATCATGAAGCAATTAGAGGAGGCCCAGTCTGTATTTCTCAGAAGGCATCAGATATATAGATGGTTTTTAATGCATGAACTCCTAAATTTTAAAGCATTAAGTAAAAACAAACAAATAAAAAAACCACCAAAAAATAATTTTCAGCTTTTAGTCTTTAAACCTGCACCTAATCCAATACCTTCATTTACCATAATTTTTTGTCAGACATTGCAAAAGCAACCAAGCAAGGGGCAGGGGGGTTGGGGGGGAGCACAGGCTTTGTATCTTGTCTAGCTGCATGGTGAGTCAAAGCAGCATTATCAAAGTACTAAAACTAGGTGTTTTGCTTGGTTTATTTACAAAGAACAAATTTAGTCCCTATGTCAACTTGCTTTGTGTTGCCTGTTTGACTCATGTTGGCTTGGATTTGCTAAACTTGCATAATCACGGTAAATGAACAGGGAATCTTTTATTTGTTTGTTTAGATATTCCTCAGCTGTATTAAAGTACATTTAAAAATACAAATTGCATGTATTCATAGTGTACATGTACATTGTGAAATTATTAAATCAAGCTAACTAGCCAATCACTTCACATAGTTAGCTTTTTGGGGAACAGTGAGAACAGTCAACATCTCCTCTCTCGGCAGTTTTCAAGTCCATAATACATAATTACTAAATTGTAGTCACCATGCTATGCAATAGATTTCCAGGACTTATTTATCCTAACTGATACTTCGGTCAAAGGGCACCTCTTAGATAGGCTTTCTGTACTTGGGGAAATTCCCATATCATGTTCCCTACCACCTCATAAATGGAAGTCACAGCTCAATTTCTCAGTTTCCCTTGCAGTAAGAAATATTTAGGTGACCCAGGCTCTACCAATTAAGAAAGCTTTCAAAAGACTTTGCCTCAAAAGGCAGTAACAGTGTCATATTTGGTCACAACATAAGTGCAAATCAAAAGGACATTGAGATTCCACCCTATCCTAGTCAAAATGGCTATCATCAATAACACAAACTGGTGAGGATGTGGAGGAAAAGGAACCTTTCTACACTGTTGGTGGGAATGTAAATTAGTGCAACCATTATGGAAAGCAATATGGAGGCTCCTCAAAAAACTAAAACTAGAACTACCATATGATCCATAATACCACTCCTGGGCATATATCTGAAGGAATGTGCTCCAGGAAACAATGGAGTCACTTGCACACCCATGTTTACTGTAACACTAATTATAATAGCTCAGCTTTGGAAACAGCCCAGATGCCCCCTGACTGGTGAATGGATTAAGCAAATGTGGTATATATACACAATGGAGTTTTATTCAGCCTTAAGGAAGAATGAAATTATATTGTTTACAGGCAAATGGATGGAACTGGAGAGTATCATGTTAAGTAAAGTAAGCCAGGCTCAAAAAGTCAAAGGTCACGTGTTTTCCCTCATATGTGGAAGCTAGATCTGTAAGTTAAATGTATATATAGAAACATATATGATCACATATATATATATATATATATATATAGTAACAGAGAGAACAAAATTGTATTAGTGGGTCTGTATGAGGGGGCAATGGGAGGTGGAAGAGAGAAAGAAAATGTTAGAGAATGAAAAATACTGAAACAACCAATCTATATATGGATATAATGTAAATAACGCAATGCACTATGCGATAAGGTATTGAATATTAGGGGAGTATGGTGATAGAGAATGAGTAAGTAATGGGGAGGTTAATTTGATTAAAGCACAATATATACAGGCCTGAAGCACCAAGGCAAAACCCCCTTGGACTATGAATATACACTTAAAAAAGAAGGGTAGGAGGATAAAATAGGTTTTTTCCAGGAGTGGGTGCCAATGGGAGGGGGTAGGCATAAGGAAAGAGTGAATGAGGGTGAATATGGGGGATATATTTTGTATTCATATATGAAAATAGAAGAATGAAACCTATTGACATTGTTGTAAGAAGGGGGAAGAAGGGAAGAAGGGAAGAGGGAAAACAATGGAGGGGATAAGCACATATGTAAATATCATAATGTCCCTCTGTACAACTATTATATGCTAATAATTTAAAAAAAAACAAAAACATGAAAAAGGCAGTAAGAGGAAAAAACTTGGTTCAGTTGAGCCATGTTTGGTGTCAGAGGCATTTAGCTCTCTAGGTTTTCAAAGGACACAAGGTAGCCACAAGTGGTGGTAGTGATGGCTACAGTAAAACCAAGTTCTTGGCAATGACTTATGGGTGGTGGTGGTGGTGGTAGTATCAGAGGCCGTTTTCTCAAACAAGTTCTACACCCAACTCTGGGCTCTGTTCCTAAAATTCAGCCTCAGGCTTGTTTCTGCAGCCCTTCCAAAGATACTGTGACCCACCAAAGATCCTTTTAATAAATGCTTTTTCAACTGAACTAGCCAGAGAGGATTTTGCTTTTTAAAACTAAGCTCTCACCAATACAAACAACACCACAGGCAGTGACAGAATCAAATCAAAGATCTCCATCTTTTTTATTCCAAGGCCAGTATTCTTTCTATCACATCACATTATTTATATTTAAAGCTTTTAGGAAGATTCAAAATGCCATTTTCAAAAATATAGACTGAAGACCTCATCTCGAAGATATGCTATAAATACTGACAAAACATTTGATTTATGGTAAGGGCCTGTGTTTCAGTGCTTTGTGAATTCATCTGTTTGTTTGTCTTTGTGCTTTTGTCCATATAGATTCATAGACTAGTGGCTTCCTAAAAGGACATCAGACAGCTTATAATAAAAATGCCAACAGCAGCCAAGCATGGTGGCATATGCCTGCAATCTCAGCACTCAGAAGGCTGAAGCAGGAAGATCTCAAATTCAAGGCCAGCCTGGGCTACATATCCAGACTCTGTCTCAAAACAAAAAACTAAAAAATAACAACAAAATCTCCCACCAATAGCAACATACAAAAAGTAGTCCAAAAAATTAAAAAATTAAAAGGATAGAGCAAGAACATATAAAGAGAGAAATAACTGTCCTCATTAAATCAGGATGAGATCATTACTATATTCTAAGCACTAAATTTACAATCTGTTTCCTTGAAGTAAAAGATAGTAACAGGGTAGATTATATTAATGTTTCCAAACCCAAGTTCACAAATAATGATGTTTATTATCTTCCATTTGAATGGCCTCCAAGCTTTTTAAGAGTTTCTTTTCCAATCTCATTTATTAAAGAATGTTTTGAATGACTCCAGCATGGCTAAAAGTACAGCTTATTGAAATACTGAAAGCAGTATGTAGATTCCTATAATTATTGTTGGTGACATCAGGTCGCAACTATTAGAATAAAGGTTTTTGAAACTTCTTTTTTTGGGGGGGGTGTTTTTAGTATCTATCACACACTGGTCAGTATGCTAAATAAGAACTTTTATTTACTTATTTATTTGGCAATAATGGGGTTGAAATCACGGCCTCATGCTTGCTAGGCAGAAAATCTACCACTTGAGCCACTGTGCCAGCCCTGTTTGTGCTGGTTACTTTTGAGATAGGTGCTCTCTTTATGCCCATATTGGCCTAGTCCAAAATCCTTCTATTTATGTTTGCCTCACTTAGCTGGTGTTAACAGACATGTACAACCCCATCCAGCCATTGGGTCTTGTGAACTTTTTGCCCAGGCTGGCTTTGAACCTTGATCTCCCTTAAGATTATAGACTTGAGTCACCACACCTGGTCTAGGAACTTTATAAACAGTATCAAATTTATTACTAGTCACAATAGCTCTGTATAGTATTATTACCCCTATTTTATAGATGAAAAATTGCTCTAGAACTTAACCAAGGTCACAAAGCTGGTAAGTGAGAGAGCTGAGATCTGGATCTAGGCCTGCCCTCCAAAATCAGTGAACTGATCTATTTATAGCATACTACTTCCCTCAGGAAGAATTTTAGTTTTATGAGCAAGAACATTTTCTCAAGGCTCTAAATCTTAGAAGGAATTGATCACATGGATGTTCACAGGAGAACTACTGACCCTATAATTAACAAGGGTTGTCTGAGGAAGAGCTGTGTAGGAATTCACTATGTTCTGAAAGGATCTGGAAAAGACACAAGGGTGAACTGTCATGGCCCTGCCCTCTATGATCTTCATCCAAGTGGGGACAAGACATGAGCACACAGATGACCAAAATGCATGCAAGTTACATGGCACCATATGTCTTCTCTGAGAGGTAGATCAAGGGTTGGAAAGGTGGCTAGAGGAAGGGATGGGCCTTATCTTCCCTGGCCCATTGCTGCTGCCTGTGGTTTATAGTCCCAAGCCCACTCCAGGAAGCTCCACTCTGTCAGTGTTCCCAACTACATGAAATACTAGCCCTACCAAGCCTAGATCTGGCCCTACTCCCTGCTGAACTCTGCCCTTGCCTTGAGAAAGGCCCTTTGGACTCGCTCCAATATCAATCAATAGCTCTCATAGGTGAATCTGAAAGATAGTAAAGAAAGGCCTATAGAGAAAGAGGTTCAGCCTAGAGGCAGAACTGGTGACCCCACAAGACAAGAGAAATGTTCACCACCCAAAAGAAAAAAAGAGAACCATTCCCTCCTGTTTCCTGACCTGTCTCTGCATTCCATCAAGTCTATTCTGCAGAGAAAACCTAAGGGAGCCCCCACATTGATCCATCACCAACCCTGTCGAATGATTCAGAAGTAGTTTATTAGCTCCTGCCCTTGAGGTTTTCCTGAAAAGAAGAAGGGGAGTACAAAGGGCTTGAAAAACACAGCAGGTCTGGCTCTGTGGCCCCAGGTATATTCTAAGAAGGCCAGGTACCTAAGCTGGACACAGAGGTGAAGCCCAAGGATAAATGCTACAATCCTATTGCTACCTGCTTCTGTTCTCTTCCACCATTTTGGCACATGAATTGAAGAAGGGAACATTTTATAAGCGTATTATAAACCTACAGAATGTCAGAACATAAAAAAAAAACTTAGAGACTGATACATGGACAAAAGAGTGAAGTGCATAGAGGTGACTTGGCTGGTACACGTCAGTCCTAGTTTTCCTTGACTCCAGTAAGCCAGAGACAGAGGGCCCTTCCTTGGTACAAGGTAATCAATTATGTGTATGCTGCAAGCTTTATACCAAATATTCCTTGAGAAATAGAATCACTCATTAAATTATTCAAGAAATATCTATTGTACTTGGTAGGCTTGTAGAGTAGATGTAAAACATTTAGCACAATTTTTTGCCCATAGTAAGTGTTCAATAAATGGAAACTTCTAGAAAAGTATTCTAACAAAATAGAAACAAGGGGAAAGAGGTAAGCCAAGAACAGATCATGACCAAACTCACATGATACATTTAGAGACTGGAATTTGTCCTAGAGATGACAAGAAGTTGACACAAGGTTTAGAACAGAGGAATGAACTGATCAGATTTTAGGAAAGCCACTCTTGCCAAACTCTGTAGGATGAGAGTTTAAAAAAGGAGGTCAGGGACACAGCTTTCCATAGAGTACTAGGGAACAGAGATGGAAAGCTGAGCTGTGGCAAGGAAGCAGAGCATGCAAAGTAGGGAAAGTTTTCTGAGGTAGATAAGAAGAATTCCAAAGGGTGGGTGGGAGAGGAAGAGATAGGAGGGAAGGGAGAGACAAGGCAGACCCCTGGCCTGGGTTCTGGGAACACATGTGGTGACCTTTACTAGGAAACAGTCCTCAGCTGCAATTTTATGGGAGAAGAAAATGAGGTCAATTTAAGGAAAGATATTTTGGGATGCCTAAGGGACATCTGAGGGGAAGACATTCCAGAGATACTCATACTTCCAGGTTTAGAGTTCAGGAGAAAGGTCAGAGCTTGAGGAACTAATATGAAGACATCAACCTAGAGGTCAATGCCAAAGCAGTGAGGACTATGTAAAATGTAGCCACTCAACTAACATTTACTAACACCTCTATTTACTAGGTACCCTGATAGTGATAAGACTAAAACAGAAAACAAGAGAAGGCCTCCACTCTTAAAGAGGTTCTCTTCTGCAGAGGGCAGCCAGAATACCCACATGTGTGCATACACATAAAAAGAAACCACTGAGCAGAAAATTAAATTAGGTGTGATGTGAAAGTGGCTATGTAGTTCCTTTATCCTTGCCCAGGCAAGGATGTGAGAAGCAAAAGAGAAGACTGAAGACAATGTAGTGACCTACACTTGTAGTCCAAGCAAAGAGGGGGAGCCCCAAGCTCAGGGACTTAGTGCCCAAACACCAAGCAGGTCATGTGGACCAGAACATCTTGACTTCTGGTCTATACTCTCTTTTGGAGACTGCTATGGTTTGGATGTGATTTGTCCCCCAAGGGTTGATGTGTTGGAAGCTTGGTCTGTGGTGGTGATGTGAAAGGTGGTAGGAACCTTTAAGAGACAGAGTCTAATGAGAGGTGATTAGGATAGTGAGGGCACTGTGATGGGAAGAGATGAATGTGGTTCTCACAGAACCCTGGTTGGTTCTTGCAAGTATTGTTATAAAAGAGAAAGATTGGCATCTCTTTACTCTCTGGCTTTCTATCTCATCTTCTGATCGCTTTTATATGTGCTCCCACCATGATCCCACCTGCCACGAGATCTTCACCAGAGTAGAACTAATACTGAGGCTGTATTCTTGAACCTCCAAAACTATGAGATAAATAAATCTCTTTTCTGTATACATTACTCAGTCTCAGGCATTATGTTACAGCAAGAGAAAATAGATTAAAACAATGAACATGTGACCACCTCCAAACTAGAGCCTCTAAGAACAACTTAATGATTCATTATTTCATTCCGTAACTATGTCTGTATTGATCTCAGTGCAAGGTGCTAGGGAATACTGCAGTGAAAAAGACCCTGCCCTCAGAAAGTTCACATGCTAATAGAAGAAAACATATTCAAGCAAACACATACACATTCCCCCAAGTAAACAGGTCTGTAAGTAAAATATTGCAAATTGCTATTAAAAAAAAAAACATAAGGGGCTAAGAAAAACAGTGGGTAATCTTCAGACAGGATAGTCAAACAAAGAAAAGCCCTTTAGTAATGATTCCTAGAATTTGCTCTGGAAATGGTAGTGGTGAGCACCTTTCAGGCAGAAGACGGAATTATGTGTGCACAGGCTTGGAGACAGGAAAGAGCTTGATGTGTTTGAAAAACTGAAAGACAACTAGCAAGGCAAAAGAACAAGGCTGAAGAAAAGAAGTGATGACACTGAAGTATAAACAGTCACATCACTCAAGACTCTGGTGGCTGCAGTCAAATGTTTGGATCTTATTGTAAGGACAATAGAAAGCCACTGAAGGATTTTTTTCAGGCTACATGTAACTTGAGCTGGTTTTTCTCTTAAGGAATTTCTGGATGGAGAGTTTTTTCTTGTTGTTGTTTTTGTTTTTGTTTTCTGGGCATGTAGTGTCTTGAGGCCAGCCCTCCAACCACACAGTATGGAAGCCCCTTATGCCACCCACAATTAGGGTCAGGCCTACATCTGCATAGCAATTTCTCCTCCTTGGAGATCCCGCCTGGCCTAAGTACTTCCCCCAAAGCCCCATGAACTCACTAAAGTGTTTCCAACAGACTTTGTGAAAGCGTTGGGAGAATGGATGCTTTTGTAGAAGGGCACAAAATAATAAAACTACTCCTTCATTTTTGATAGAAATTTCTTGTTTTCTCCTCCAGTGCTTTCCATAGTCCATGGCCAGAGTAATTACCTTTGCTCTTTATTCTGTCTCCATTTATATTCCCAAACATCATGAACATGTGTATGTGACTATGAACAAAGAACCATAAATTTTTATTGATCCCAGAAGGTTGGGAATTCTAAACAATAAAATTATGTCCTCTGACTGCTTCTCTCAAAAGAATATTTTGAAGACACAATATAGCTTTGTTAAAACAAGAAATGAGCACTTAGGACACTTTGGGCCTCATGTGGGCTCCAGGCCATCAGGTAGTGATGCAACAGGCAACTGTAGACATAAAGTTGGAACGACCTCCCTGTAACACTCGCCTGGGCACCCTTCCTCATTTCTTACCACACATCTTGACTACATCAAGCCCAGTTTACTATATAGCTTGCAGCCACTATTGTTCTCAGAAGGCAGAATTCTCAGCATAAAGAAAAAGTCCCCTTTGTCTTCCATCCATGATTTAATTCACATTCTCTTGAACGCTCCATTCACTTTGTTTTCAAGCTAAGCATTCTCACAATTGTACCAGACCCTGAATTTGAATTTCCATGTGTTTCTACTGTTTGGAAATTTGCCTAGGTCAGCCACTGGACAGTCTCAGAATTTAGCTTTACCTTAGGGAAAATCTTTGTTGGTCATGACTTCTTATAATACTTCTAACTTCTGTCATATATTTTCCCCTCAATTTCTGTAGTTTTGTCCTTCAGAATACATACATGGATGTACAAATATTACCTTTTCTCTGGTAATCAGTAAACTTTTCACTATCTTTTCCAACTTAGTCATATTACTAGGGAGATGTTCTTCCTTTGTCTCACAGATTTTGGAGGGGTGCTCTTACCTGCATTCTCTTACTTACAATTTCTTTTTCTGCCTTTTTCACGCAGATATACCATTCCTACAGTTTCCCTGATCCTCCAATACCATGATTCACAAGGTCTGACAAACTGACTTTCTATGCTTTTGTCTCTGCACCCACATATAAACTTCTCTTATATGTAAATACACAAAACTTACTAGAATATTAATGGGTAAAACTTGACCATAAAGTAATACGAATACAGAGACATGCCAATTCCTAATAAAAAGCATGTAGCCAATTGATTAGGAAGTACTAGGAAAGAAATTATCTTTTTGCTCTTTGGATAGTCTAGCAGAATATGGCTTACCTGAATGTATTATAATCTACCACCTTCGTGTGCTTACAGTCAGCAGCTGAAAATATCTGCTTGATCTCTCTTGATTTTGATTCTGTTTCTTTCAGCTTTTGTAGGGCTAAATTGATGTTGCTAAATGGAAACTGGAAGGGGAAATGAAAGAAAAGACATTTCTGAAGGCCATGAAAGAAACTTCACATGGTGAACCTAAAATTAGCTGGACATATCTTTCCATAGAGACCAACATGAAGAATACATGACTAGCTTTAGGACAATAACTGACATTAGCATAGGCCCTAGATCTGAAATGAGCTTAAAGGACAGCAGGCCACAGAGATCAGTAAATAATCTCTGCTTTCACTTCAGCCTCCTCCCTATAACCCTTGGACATGGGCCCAATATTTTGGCAGACCTTAATGGAAAGATTGGGGATTCAAAATTAGATAAATATACCCTCATTTTTTCTAGATCTTTAGAATGGGCTCCCCAGAACTGTTGCCACCAAGTGATGCACTGATCAGAGCAAAGTTGAGTGTCACAGATTCACACGGCACTGTAATCTCCATACATTTGTCCTCTAGGCAGCCAAAGAACACATCCTACATTGTGATTAGCTTTTTGACTTAGTAAGACTACTTTTTATTCAATCCCAGTAAAGAATAAGATTGTAAATAATTATGGCTATGAGATCAAAAATGAGAAGATGAAATTTTAGAATAAAAACATTGATGGTAATTTAGTATAAAGCTCCTCTATTCCACTATAAAAGGATCTAGATGGTTTGGCATCTATTGAAGGCCCCACTCACTTTCCTTTTTTTGTATTTCCTTTCATCAATGTCTATGATAAGATCTATAAGGTCTTTTGAAAAGTCTCCTTAGACTGGTATTAAAGAGTATATTAATCTTTCTCCGCTTACAGTGTCTTTGTTAAGAGAAGTTTTAAGATAATACAATTTTCACTTGAGATGCTGATACCAGATAATGTCCTTTACTGCTTTTATCATTCTGAAAGGAGAAAAGTTCTTTATACCTAAAAACTACGTTTTGGCTGGGGGTATAGCTCACTGTCTTATCATGTGCAAGGCTCTGGGTTCCATCCTCAGCACTACAAAAATAGTAACAAAACAAAGAGACCCTAACTATATTTCATTATATACAGGTAATTTTTAAATTACTGTGGGGCTATGTCCCAATAAACCTATTGTAAGTTGAAAATATAGTAAGCAAGAGTTCAGGGCTCTCCATCGACCTGGCTGAGACTTTCTTGGAGCTGTACTGCCCAGTTGAAACTCTTCCCATTCACCTCTCCTTCCTTCATCTCTCTTCGAGAGGGGTCAGACCTGCGTGGCACTCTGAAGGTTCCACCCATCATCTACCTCCTCTTGCTTTCCTCTCCTTGTACCCCTTAAAGACCTTTTCCACTATACATATACCTCTTGCATGTCTAACTCTGTCTTGGCATTTGCTTCTCAGATGACCCATACTGACATGGACAATGTGACATATGTGGAGAGAATGAATCTAGCAACTTAACCCTGAGCATATTCTAATGTTATGTAAATATTATTACTTACTGGTGAACTTTTAAAATAAAACATTTCCAGATAAGATTTCTCAGTATGAACAATGATTCCAAAGTATACATGTCTATACACTGAACGACTCCACATTTAAAAATCAAGATTTCATCAATATTATTTTTACTCAACAACATTGCCATAACAGCACTTTTAGTAGCAGAATCAATGTGCCATCTCATTTCAAAAAAAAAAACTTTGGCTGGGTATGGTAGCACACACCTATAATTCTTTTACTCTGAAAAGCTGGCTGAGTGAGACAGGAGGACTGCGAGTTGGAAGACAGCCTGGACTATATAGTGAGTTCCAGGCCAGTCTGGGTAATATAGTGAGATGCTGTTTCAAAAAGAAAAACACCTGAATAAAGAATACCTCTTTAAGCTCACTGTGTCAATTTCTCCTTAAATTCTTATTTAGGCTTCAGGTGGCCACTGTTTAAGGAACTTGCAACCCCAGCAACTACTGAGTCCCCTGGGGTTTCTGTTTGTTCCAGTCTTGGCCTTGTCTGTTGGCCTGTGCCAATTAACTGGGATGGCACAGTGTGTGGCACCAGATTTTCTTCCTTCCCTATAGTTGTTGCATTTCTTTCTGAAAATATTATTAGGGTCAGCAGAAAACCCAGGAAACTTGATTCAATCTGGTTCTGCCTCCTGCCTGTGCCTGGAATCCGTGATGCTGGGCGGCGGAGAGCCAAGCGTGTAAACAGAGGAGACAGGGACCTGGCCTCCATGAAAGGACCTATGGCAAAGTGGCACGGATTCATTATTCATACCCACATGTGTCAATGCACAATGTAAAACCAGTGGCAAGATGCAGAAGAAAAGGCCCTAGAGAAAGAAAAATACACAATGCAGAAGGCTGAAAGGCAAGTCAAGAATTGTATAAAGTAAATTCACCCTGTCTGTATTCTTCTCCATGTAGTTTAAGGTGTACTCATCAGCATTCAGCAAAAGAAACAGGTAGCCATTTACGTTCACTGTAGCTCCAACATACAGCTCCTCAGCCTTGATATATTCTGATAGTTCACTTTTAAAGATTTCTTGTCCAGGCTTCTTAACACGAATTCTTTTCAAGAACATCCCACCTGCATTCCCTATAGCAAAAGAGAAAGGTTCATGGGTAGTCTTTATTCTTAAAAGAACCATATGACTTGCCTTTAGTTACTTCATCCTCCAACACAGACTGTACAATTTATCTGTCAACTCATACTACCTATTATTCCTAGACTCAGGGAAAGAATAAGGTAGTTGGTGAAGAAATAACACTTATATACTGTGGGTGGGAATGTAAATTAGTGTAGCCATTATGGAAATTGGTGTTGGAGGTTCCTTAAAAAAACCAAACAAAACTACCATATGACCCAGCTATATAACTCCTGGGTATATACCTGAAGGAATCAAAGTCACCATACAACAGAGACAGATGCATACCCATGTCTATTGGGGTATTGTTCACAATACCTATGTTATGGAATCAGCCTGGGTACCCAGCAACAGATAAATAAAGAAAATGTGACATACAAACACATACACACACACAATAGATTTTTATTTAGCCATAAAGAAGAATGAAATTATGTTATTTGCAGGAAAACAGATAGAACTGGTGATCATGATGTTAAGTGAAATAAGTCAGTCCCAAAAGACAAGTATTGCATGTTTTCTCTCATGTGGAACTTGGGGGAAGGGGGAAGCAAAACAAAAATGACATGAAAGTAAAAGGGAGACTACTAGGGATAAGGAAAGGGAAAAGGGGGAGGAGGAGGAGATTATATATATATAATGTATGGAAATGTCATAATTAAACCTATTACATTGTACAATTAACTTTTTTATAAAAAGACTTTATGGGTGAGTGTTTTTAAAAAGTGAGATGCTATTCCAAGTTTTTCCTTCCTCTCTTCCTAATCCAATAAACACTTAGGAAGTATTTGCTCTATACACCCTATAGTATACTAAGTAAGTGGGACATCAGGAAGTTCCTGATCTTTAGAGCATGCTTGAACAATGCCAGTTCAAGTGTAAGTGCTCACTTACACTGATTTGTCTTATACTTAACCTGACATGCAGATTAAGGGCAAGCTACCTCCACCTCTGAAAAGGAGACTAAGTGTTGAAAGATAATTATAGGAAACCACATCTCTTTTTTTCTACTGGCAAAAGTATCTTTGCTTCTTTTAATAACGCCTTATATTGCCTACTTTCCAGAATTCTCATCATTCCATCTGTTCTCTTCTGGGCTTTTCTTTGTGGTACTGGAATTTGAACTCAGGGCTTCACACTTGCTAAGCAGGCAATCTACCCCTTGAGCCTCAAGCCCTTTTTGCTTTTCTTATTTTGGAGACAGGTTCTCACTTTTTGCCCAGGTCAGTCTATCCTCTTACTTTATGCTTCTCACCTAGCTGGGATGATAAGGCCCAGCTTTTTTCCATTGAAATGGGATCTCACAAACTGAGCTGGTCTGAAAGCTTGATCTTCCCAATCCCAGTTCCGCACAGCTTGGGATGCCAGGCACATGCAACTGTACCCAGCTATTGGGTGAGATGGGGTGTTGTGAAGTATTTGCCTGGGCTGGCCTGGAACCTCAATCAAGTAGCCTATCAAATAGCTATGATTACAGGTATGAGCCACCAGAACCTGGCTGGGCATTATTATTATTTTTTTAATCTCTTGGAAAGCAGCAAGCAGAGCTGAACAGGAGACTCCAGGGCCTTGTTATATGGAACTGAAATCTACAGACCTATGAATACAAGCTGAGCCCACATGAGCATTTAGGGTGATCTTTATTACATCCTTCCTATCACATTCAGGCATGACAGGTGGTGGAAAGACACAGGCTTTGGAGCCAAATAGAGCTGTATTCCATCCCAATTTTGTTACTTGCCTACTGAATGATCTTTAAGAGTTTTTAAACCTTCCTGAACCTTTGTGGTTTCTCATTGGTAAAACTGGAATAAAATTTGTGGGGGACCATGAAAATGTACCTCTCAGATTATCTACTGTGGAGAACATAACTGATGGAAGGCTCCACCTGCTGTGTTCTGAAATCCATCCTCAGGTGTATGTCAAGGTCATGCTTCCCACATGCTGCTGTCAACAAATGACTGCATAAGGCAGGGATACTAAGACTGACTCATTCCAGCAAAAACAAGAGCTCCTTGAAATAGGAAGTTTGGTATAGTCTCACAGAAATTCCTTAAAATTCTGTCTGCCCTTCATAGGAGTCAGAATCCACTGCAGTCTAATGGCTCTCTAAGCCTTCTCTACATTTTCCCTAAACAGCATTAAGTCTCTTGCATATTTAATCCTGCCCCACATTTGCTTCCTGGAAGACCTAGCCAATCATGAAACGTAACCCCATGAAGTTCTTGTAACGATAATAGTAGGTACTCAGTGATGGCTGCTATTAATTAAGCTTGTAGTTGACTACCTTTGCCCTTCTAAAAATTTGCTTGGCTACATCTTCCCAATTCTAAACGTGTAGAGCTGGCTTTTTTGTTTGTTTGTTTTGTTTTTGCCATTGAAAGCATAACTTACATTCATCCTTATTCGCTTTCATACTTTTAAGATTTTCCACTATTCAAATTACTGGGGAGTCTGACTTAATTACACAGTTATTCATTATTTATTTGTGTGCTAAGTGGCTCATATGAGCTGACTGTTAATTTTTAAAGATTTTGCAAGCCAGTTTTTAAACTGCTAGCTTCTTGAAATTGGCCATCAATGGGGTATTCACTCTATGGAAATTGGCAAACAATAACAATCAGGGCATAAAAAATTTTTTTTCAAAGAGCTAGTTAACCAACATATCACTAATTACTCTTCCCAAATGTGTGTCTTCAGCACAGATAAAAGTTGTAAACATGAGCTGAGCACCAGTGGCTCATGCCTATAATCCTAGATACTTGGGAGGCTGAGATCAGGAGGATTGTGGTTCAAGGTCAACCCAAGCAAATAGTTTGAGACACCAGGTCCAAAATAACCAGAGCAAAATGGACTGGAAGTGTGGTTCAAGAGTGGTAGAGTGCCTACTTTGCAAGTGCAAAGTTCTGAGTTCAAACCCTAGTCCCACTAGAAATAAAAAAAAGATACTTGAGATACATTCCTAAACTAAGGATAAGGGAAACAGAGGGAGGAGCTACTAACAACAACAACAACAACAAAAAAAAATCAGAGGGCAGCTGGAGGCATGGCTCAGAGATAGAGTGCCTGCCTAGCAAGTACAAGACCCTGAGTTCAAACCCCATAACTGCAAAAACAACAAAAAGTTGCAAACATGGAGAAAGAAAAAAACCAGAGTCCCACAGTTCCATAATTTGGTAAGTTAATGGTGACCCTCAACAAAGGCCATGGTATCGCATACTGCAAAGAGCACTTTATAGGTTTGGAGGGTGGAACCTTGGCAATTTCCTCAACAGACAGAAGGGCCAGAGAAAGATGAATCCTAAAGATTAAATTTGTATATCTGGAATTCTTATCTTATATACAGTCAAGCAAAAAAATCTGTAATGTTCTCTTGGCTTTGTAATGTTTGAATTTGAGTGTTCTCTTGGCTTGCTGGTTGTGAGCAGGACTTGTGACAGCCACACCATGACTCTGAAGCCCTTGAGTTCCACAGAATTGCCTCAAAGAAGGAGGGAATAGTGGCAAAAGGGATTTATCACAGGTTTGCCAGCCCTGAACCACCCACAACTGTTCCTCATTTATTATTTATATATTTGGGTTCCTGCACTTAAGACAAATTTGTAAAAAGAAATCTATTGGCTTAAAAAAAAACTTTATCATAGATCACCTAGGATATAAAAATAACATATTTCCTAATTTTCCAAAAGAAGAGGTAGTTAAATATCCTGAGGAAAATGCTGTGGAAGATGTCTCTTACCTGAATTCCTCTCTATAGGTTCAAACACTGAAAGTGTGTCATCACTGAGAAAATATGAAATAACAAACAACCTGTCCACATCAGCACATTTGTCTGTGATCATTTTTGCAAAATACCGGAGTATATTGCTTACGTAGCCATAGCTAAATAGAAGAGAAATGAGGGTTAGAGCATTACACAAGTGATCTCCCACACATCATATATGTAAAAAATAATAATAAATTAAAAATTTTTAAAAGCCTGCAAAATTATGCCATGGTTTTAACACAGAAACTTAAACTTTCTAAAGTCAAAGACTCCAAACATCTTCTTAAGGTTCTAAATCTAAGTTCAGAGGAATTTTTTCAGTATATAAAAGTATCTCTTATTCTTTTATGTCCTGGGAAGCACATTGGGAATAGACCCAACACAAATGTTATAAACATACTGCTCAAATTAATGGACTATTTATTAATCATGAGCCAGTTAGCAATGACAGTAATTGCATCAGATAGAGCACAAACACCTAGTCCCTTGCCCTTATCCAATCCAGAGGGTATGCTCTGCACATGCCTGGGGCCACCCTCAGGTTTCACCACCCACTACCCTGGGACTTTTCTGCCTTGCAACCCACATCCTCCCTGCCCTCTCTCACTCCCACATCTCCCCAGCATCAATCCCAATTTCCTTCAGGGGAAAAGTTAACTATTCTCTTTTAAATGCTGTAACAAATATTATCAACATGCCTCTTTTTCATAGCACTTATCACCTATAAGTTAGGTAGTATTATGAATTTGTTCTCCAAAGGGAAGCACGTGCCTTATTAACTAGTATCTAATATAACACTTTACATTATAAGTACTGTATTCAATAAATGTTTGCAGAAACATTTCTAGAAAGCTTGTAGAAACATAGATTGGAAGTTGCACTTAGAACTCTATGCATGAGTAGTAGGCTGAAGAAAGGATCAAATTGTAGAATTAAAAGTTCCCTAGGTGGCATGGTGGCACATGCCTATAATCCCAACACACAGGAGCCAGAGAAGAAGGATTGTGAGTTCAAAGCCAGCCTGGGATACATAGCAAGACCCTGTGTTCAAAAAAAACAAAATGGAACAAAACAAACCAAACAGTTCCCAAAGTTGATTGCTTGGCCACTAAAGAAAGTAATTTATAGTCTCTCAGCAGAAGCATGTCTGCAGATACCAACCAGTGAAAGGTGGCCCTCGTAACAAATAGCGAGCCCTCAGTAAGGTCTTTGATAATCAAAATTATTACCCAAAGAAAGGCACACAATAAAATCAACCGTGTCCTTCACCATATCCCTGTCACAATTCTAAGCAGAATGGTCCTCACTTGAAGATTCTCCCACGCTAAAATTCATTCTTTGTGTTCACAGTGATACCTTTCTTGGATTGTTCAAGAAGCTGGGCTGAGAAATCATGGCACCAAAATTCCCAGTTGAGAACTCAGGTGAGATGCAACACAGCAATTTGTAAGGCTAGCCCAAGGGCAGCCTGGGCAAAGCAGTCAATACTGCTGGTTTTTCTTAGCGACTAGTTCCCAGGTTTCAGATAGACCTCACCCAATTGGATTTATAACTAACAAATAGATACAGTAGCCCCCTCTCATGAAAAATCCTTAATTTTTCAGATGCCTAGAATATCACTGACACAACTGTATGAGGTATAATCTCAGGTAAATTTAAATTCTAAGAACTTAAATTTGTAAGTGCGTATATTAACTGTGGACTTTTCAACATGCCATATTTATTCAGCTAGTTCTAGTGTTCTAGAGATCTTATCAACTGGAAATATATCCATCTACTCCACAAAGTTTTTTTAAACTAGTGGTTCACAAAGTTTATTATATATAAAGGTCACCTGGGAAGCTTGTTAAATATGCAGAATCCACAGTTTACCCCAAGAGATAAGGACCCAGTAGTTAAGCTTGCATTTCCAGAAACCTGCATTATTAAGCATGCCAGGCACACCAAGAGATTCTGATGAGGTCCCCAGAGCACACTGTAAGAAACACTGCAAGTGTCTTCAGATATTTCCTCGACTAATAAGCTAATTATCAAACATACTTTTTATCTGAACATACTTTTTATCACAATCTCCACCCTCCTAGCTGATCACCTACTCATACTTCCTGTACCAACCATAATGTCACAAACAAGTTTGTTCTCATAGTTTTATGAGAGTAGCAAGGCTTTGTGTGTGCTTTGTTCACCAATGTATTGCAAACACTCAGGTTGTATGACAAGCACCTAGGTTAACTGTTTGGCACACAGCAGGTACTCAGGAAATATCTATTGACTAAGCAAGTGAATGGTTTACCCATAACTACACATCTAATAAAAACCTTTTTAAAAGCTGCAGCTATAGAAACTTGTGGTTAGAAGACATGTGAAGGCTTATTTTTAGTAATGGGGAAAAATTTAAAGGTAGAAAAAATGGCTTATGAGGACAGCAGATGGACAATATTTGAAACAAGTGAGAAATGACTAATTAAACCATGACTTTTTACATGCTATATGTTCATGAACAGCATAAGTATAGGATAATAATCTTCCTGGTCATCTGCCCCTTCTATCTATCAATAAGAACTGGAGCAGCTACTATTTATTCTACTTACTATACTCACATAACCTACCCACTCATTTTCTTCTTGGGCAAAATATTTACTAGCCTCCATGTATGCAGCAGCATTGTTCTAATTCTTAGGGAAACAATAAAGCCAGTCCCTGATCTCAAAGAGCTCTTGGTCTGTGGATCCTACAAATTATATAAGTAAGTAATCCCCATGCTCTGTGATATGGACTATGGCAAGAAAAGAACTCCAGAAGTCAGATTTCCCTGGATTCAAATTCTAGTTCAACTAAAAATTAGATATGTGATCTTGGACAAGTTGCAGAGTCCCTCCGAGCCTCAGTTTCTTCATGTAGGGAATGGATACAGTAATACTGTCTACTTCCCTACAGTAGTTAATATACAGGAACCATTAATTGCTTATTAGTGGTAATATTATTATTAGAGGTATAGTCAGCACAGAATTGTGAGTACTCAGAAAGCAAGGTAACTAATTCAGGCCCATGCAGCAAGAAAGATATTCTGGTCCTTCCAAATCAGACTAGACAATCTCCCCAGCAGGCCACCGCAGTGATGTTTACCCAGACAATAAGGATCTTCATGTCCACCAAAACTCATCATATGTCTCAATTTGAAATGATTTCCTCCAATGACTCATAGAAGACAGCATTAACCTAACAATAACACCCGATAAATTTGCTTTAATAGCAATAGATAAAATCAAAATGTCATGTACAATGTCATGTCCCAAATCACAGTTTCTTTATTTCTATTAAGAAACTATCTGTTATATGCGTTATGAGATCATCTTCCTCAGGTTCTCACAGTTTTAAAACCTTGGGTCATTCAAACTCCTGCATGAGTCTCTAGCTGAATGTGCCAGTTACTATGGAAACAAGGTCACTGTGTGGAAGGAGCTTGATGGAAGTGTATTCCTGGCACAAAACAAGAAGTGGACAGAAAGAAATGAAATTAGAGACATTTGTGCCTATATACTGTCCTCCAGTCATGATAGCATGACATGCACTGCTGTCTGCAGTCAGGATTCTGTGGGCAAGTTTATACAGTACAGACAGAAAGAGAGACAAAGTCAGCTACCCACAAAGAACTGTTTTTCCCTGGGTTCCAGAAGCAACACCCTGGATAATATTTCATTTTGTTTACTTATAAGAAAACTTCCCTCTCTTTTTACAATAGGGATATTCTTTCTGCCCACCTCCTCTGAGTGGCTGCCCTTAAAAACAGCAGTAAGTGAAGTGTCTATCAAAAGACCTACCCAGGAACCTCACCGTAACACTATTATTAATAAAGAAGAATGGTAATAAGTTGGTATCCATCTTATATGACAAAAAAAATCAGTGATTCTCAAACACTGGTGTGCCTCAGCATCCCCTGAAGGGCTTAGGAAAACACAGTGCTGGGATTCACCCCCAGAATTTCTTTCTCAGTCAGTTTAGAGGGAGACATAAGAATTAGCATTTCTGACAAGCACTTTGAGTAGCACTGAATTTAAAATGCTTAAAGTAATAAAAGATTATTTATTGAAAGATGAAGGACATCTCAACAAGAGAGGTGGACCACTTTTACAGACAGAACACAACTACTGTTCTTTCTCCTTCAAATGTTCAACAACAGTATGTGACCCCATTTGATTTGAGTGAATTGGGGATGCTCCTTTTCTTCTCCTTCTCCTAGTCCCTTTGTCATTTTTCTTCTCAAGATCTCCCCACCCTTTATCTCCTTCACATAGGATTACAATTTTTAGTCCACATCCTATTCAAGCATCTCTAAACACTTTCCCACCACTTTTTCTCTGACTTCTTTCTCCAAGGCCTGCTGTTCCTGCAGAAGCAAAAAGTAGCAATGGACAGTGCCTACAAATTACATACATGACTCAAGTGGATTTGCCTCATGTATATTGGAATACTTTTGAAAAATCCTTCTTTTGAAATTACATTCTGTCATCTGAGCAATCTATTGTTACTGAACTCAGCCAAACCTCTCAAATCAAAACAATATTAAATGCCAAAATAACATTTTGAAAAACACTTATAAATCTTGAAATCCCTATAGCAGGGGTTAGCAAACCACAGTCTGTGGGCCATATCCAGCCAGCCACCTGTGTTTGCATGGCCTTTAAGCTAACTGTGGTTTGTACATTTTCAAATGGTTGAAAACAATCAAAAGAATAATAATATTTTGTGATAGGTAAAAATTACATAAAATTCAAATGTCAATGTCCATTAAAAGTTTTACTGGAACATAGTCACACGTGTGTTTACATTCTGTCCATGACTGCTTTCACCCTAAATGGCACATCTGAATGGCTATCAGGAATGGCTGATTCCTCCTCTACATCATTTCCTCAGAACCAGGAAGACAGAAGACAGGAGACAGGAAGACAGAAAGACAGTAGATAGAAAAACAGGCAGATAGATTATGGAAAGACCACATAGATGGGATGACTCCAGATGATACACCAAATTGAATAGTCAAGGAAGAACCCAGGAATACCTTCTTGTTAATCAACTTCATTAAAAAGCTACAACATGTCCCTGGACTTGAAATCAGATGAGCTGTGTGACACCTGTTTCATCAGGAGGATTATTCTGTAAACCCCAAACACAGTTGAATAGACAGGACTACAATCATGGTTCCCTCAAGTACCTGTCTTCTTCCATGAACTTCTTGAAGTTCTTCCTGTGAGGTGTGGGCACGAGGCCTATGCAGGTACGGAGAGAATCCTCTTCAGACCCAAAGCCATTGTAAGGTGGAAATTTCCTATCTATTTTTGGAGGAGGAGGAGCTTTGATTGAGATGGAGGGAAAGTTCTCTATGACAAAACAAAGGCAAACAAAACATCAATATTTTTTGCCCTGATTATGGCTGACTTGAAAGGTTTGTTATGATTTCAAGATGAACCTGGAGATCTTTGTAGACTATTTTAAACTCTTTCAAATAAAACACACCAAAATCCCATGAGAGTAGGTTTCAATCATGTTTACAAAAAGCACAGAATTCACTGAATAATTGCCATTGGTTCAAAAACAAATCAGTATCAAATAAGTAAACATTTACCTTTTCTCATCACATCCCCATTTCTGAATATCATTTTGTTCCTTCTTGATTTTTCCACTGATGTGAAAATTCAAACCTGAAACTTTATGCTACTCATTCTATATTTTAACCTGAAATTTAGTCCTCTCCTATCTTCAGTCAACACTTGCTAATAAAATTCTTTTCCAAATAGGACTAACACCTGACTGCTTTTCCTTTAACCTGATCCATCAGCCAGCATCTCCTCCTGAACCCTTTTTCAGACCCCTCTCTTGCCATAATTCAACTGTAGGACACACATTCTGCTATCTAGTTCAAAAACAAACACAAAAAATAAAATTTCTTTCTTCCCTCCAGCCACTGCTCCAGATCACCCCTTACTGCTCAAGAAAAGACTGCAATTGTACTTGCAATGAAGCAAAAAACCAAACCAAAACAAAAAACCCTTAAAGCACCCAATTGCCTGCTCTGTGAAAGGGAGTACTAAATAGTAAAAACTGTTGATTACACTCATTTACTTGTTTTCTGTGGAGAAGGAGAAAGACCTAGGAATGTATGTGTAATGGGCTCCTAGGTACTCATTCACAAGGCTGTCTAATCTCTAAGAAGCAACTGTGCTTTCCAGAATAAATAACATATCGACCCAGTCTATCCAAGTCACTGTTTGCCCCAACATGAATGGCAAAGAAGATGTTGGTATCTTCCCTAAATCAAAACAAAACCACATAATCCACTTTTCTCTTCTCCCCTAAGCTTGATAGGTGTGTTCAGTTGTGAACAAAAGGAATTCCACATAAGCAAAGATTGCCTTTTCCATTTGTCAACATTCTAACAGAAGGAAGAGTACAGATTTTAGTAAACACCATCATAAGAGAAAATGTGCATAAATTTATCATCTAAGTCAGCCTAACTCTAAAAATTGATGTAGATTTTTAAAAAACTGATTAATCTAAAGGCTAAGGGCTAAAGCCATTTCTAACTCTTGATTTTAAAACATTTTTAGCTTTCACCTTTCCTTAGGCTTCCTAGCAGCCTTGGTGTGAAATTCCCCAAGCACAATCCCCATCCTAACAGAAACTGCTCACAGCAGACATGTTGACAAAGAGAATGCCATCAAATATTTCACACTGGCTTCGTGAAAGGGGGCAGACTGTCTGCGGTACAGAATAGACTTGTGAGCCTGTCCTATTGCTACTTTTGTGAGGACTAAGGAGAAGCCTTGCTAATAAAGAAGACATGCAAATCTTGGAATGAGAATTGCAGTAGACTCTATCATTGCTCACCATTACATCAAACATACCACTGCCCAGTACCTTCATTTCCAGACAAGCACCACAGAATGGCAGGAAAACTCTATGTCATTATTAGAAAATTGGGGCTTGAGCAGTTTCCACAGAGGTGAAATACTACTTTGAGCAGTCTAACCAAAAGAGGGCACATACTGAATCACAAAATAATTAAGAATATATTTTACATGCGTCACCATTTCAGGTCTTATAAAACACTGTTGTTTTCTCAACTACATAAATTTTGCAGCAGATTTAAGTAACAAAAGAACCAAATTAGAACTTTCCTCTGCACCCACACTGCCATCTAGTGTATAAAAGCTGAGAACTGTTCTACTCTATCACCCCTGCCTTTTATAACACCACATGTCCTAGCTCAAGATCTAACTATAAATGACATTTCTTTGGGTAATTCACATACATTCACAAAGCTGTGGATTCACATCTGAATGACAAGTTGGCTGTCTTTGTTTTTCATCATTCCAGAATCCTGCATCTTTCAGGTGTTCAAAAATATTCATTGAACAAATAAAAAAGTATACATTTTTGCACAAAGTATCTCCTCAAATATCTTATGTAACTGGCATTCTGCTAGACCCTGAGACATATTTGTCTTTCAGATGTTCTGATTCCTCTAATTCCAAACCACTTGTAAACATACGTGGACTGAATGACTACCCATGACTATAGATTCCAACAAATTGCAGAGAAATCATGTATATAAAGGAGTTGAATGATCCTTCATGGTGATTTTCTATCCACCATCTTAGCACTACTGGGAAAAGTCTCCAAGTATCTCAAAGTTTATTTCTTATATTCTAGTAACCCAGAGATGGATCCAGGCTTTGGGAAGCCTGAAGTCAAATTACATAATTTGGAGGAAGCTCTTCAAGACAAAGAATGTCAAATTGCTATAACAAAATTAGACCAGGGATTTGTCCTAGGGCCTCTGCAAAGGAAGATCCTTGAGATTCTTAAAGATTAAGCTTCATTAGCTTCCAGGTAAACTCACCTCTGCTTGTATTTAATACCAAGGTCAAATGATTTCAGTGAAGCATTTATTCAGGGGCCAAATAATCAGTGAATTGCATAATGCTAGAGCTATAAAATCCTTAGTAACCCTCTAATTCTCAGCCATCTTCACTTTACAGGGGAAGTAAAAGAAGTAAAATAGTTGGCTCCATCAAGGTCACGTGATAAGACTACAAGCCAATTCTATCCCTGTTGCTGTAACTGGTGGGTCAATTTCATCAAGTGATCATTAAACTCTCATCTTGAATGTCCTGCTGCTTCTACTCTTGAAAGTTCAGAGATGGCCAGACATGACTGCAGAAAATTAAAGGTGCTTTAAGATTTTTGTTCAACCTTATTCTAAGTACCGCCTAATAAGTGTTGAAAAGCAATGAGAATGAATGATCTTGTTACTAGTGCAGTTGTCCCAGCCACTAAGAATCAATGAGAAGAAAGTCCTCTTGTAGATAAGAAATAACCCAAGGCAGAAATTCCTAGGAAAGAGCAGTTTACCTTCATTTCCCTGTCCCTTTAGTAGAAAAAATGCCTGCTTTTTCAACCTTTATGCTACAGGAAAGACTGGCAGACCTCCACCTGCCAATCCACCTGCCAATCTCTGTACAACCATATCAAATAGTGAGGGAGTGACCTGGTACAGTCCAGCAGGCAAGCCAGTGCCAGCAGGATAGCCAAGCTACCTAATGCACAGGTTACACTGGACTATGATGTTCAAGACATCTATGGAATTACCTCCTTAGAATCCTTAAATGCATGAAAGAATCTCATCTAAGAGTCAGAATGGGTCTCACACAGGGGCTCCAATGTCTCTTGCAACCCTAACAAGCCTTCTGCATCTACTATATAGAAAAGTTATTCATACATCTTTCTTGGGACTGTAGCCAGCTCCTTCTTTTTGCCATTTTTTCTGTCCCCAAATAAGATGGGGGTACCATCAGGTAGGAGGAGGTTCTAAAGTGCCAAAGCTAAATAACGCATTAAAAATTTTCCCCTGGCTTTCTGCTACAGAGATCCCTAGCTGTGTTTGCACAGTCAGCTTCTTCCTCTATGCTGCACAGTGGAGACACCAAGGTATTCTTATTGACCACAGTTACTGACAAGGGAGGAAATGTGTCCACAGTTACTGGCATAACCACAGTTATTGATGGCACTTTGTTCTGGTTTGGGCTTTAAGGATGCCAAACATAATACAGGAAATTTTATCTAACTTACAAATTTTTAGGACCAGATGAATTATAAATAAAATTAACCCCCACCAGCATCACAATAATAAAGTCTTTTTTGATAGTTTTATTGAGTAATGTCTCAGGTAACGCTCTCCTGAGCTACATTGCTGTGTAGCAGTGAGTAGCATTCTCATTTTCTTTTTCTTTAAACATTTTTATTAGTATGTGATAGTTGTACAGGGGGAGTTTGTTGTCACTAATAAAATCTTCAGTCAAATTGTCAGCTGTTAGAGTATATGACTGAATTTTTTATCCTTACAAATATTTTTAACATGTTACAGCCACTAAACAGGTCACACTAAGGGGAAGGCATTAATGGGAGGGGGAGGGTACATGAAGAAAGTAGAGGTGAATATTGTTGATGTACTTTCTATACAATTATGAATATGGAACATTCAAGCTTGCTGAAATCACCACAGGAAGAAGACTAAGATAGAAAGGAGAAAAATGGAGGGGACGAACCAATTCGGGGTATAATACATATATATAAAGAAATGTCACAATGATACTCCCTGTATAACCATCATAAACAAACAAAAATGTCTTTTTTGAAAAATGAAGGACAGAAAGGCAAAAGAGGTTCTGCTCAGGGATAGGTACCAGTGGAAGGGGGAGGGCATAAGGAAAGGGTGAAGGAGGGAGAATATGATGGAAGTACTGTGTATTCATGTGTGAAGGTGGAACACTGAGACTTCTTGAAACTGTTCTTGGAAAGTGGGGACAGGGGATGAAGGAGAAGGATGGAAGGGGTGAATCTAACCAAGATATACTGTAAGCACTTTTGTAAATTTCACAACGTATCCCCGGTACAACTATAATATGCTAGTAAATAAATAAAAGAAAAAAATAAAAATAACTTAGGAGTCAAACTGCAAAAAAGAAAAAGATCATTGATTCAATTTTTTTAAATGACAGAAACAGGCATATATAACTAATATTAAGTATATCAATTTAACCTTACAAAAAAAGTCAAGAAAATGAGTCTCTACAAAGAATAGCAAAGAATATTGATCCACTCCCCCTACTCTACCATAGATGTATTTCTAGTCATTAGTTACATTAAGTACACTATTACAACTCAAAAATGTGTAGTAATAGCATCTGTTAAATGGGATATTTTTAACATATGTTATGAGAAATAGAAAAAGTCAATGTGACTGTGAAATGCATTGTAATTTTTCATTAGCATAATTTTCTGTTTTAATGCTCATGTATATTAGCATTAAAGGTACAAA